ATGGAGTTGTGGTGCATGATGGGATTTTAACATGGAACCCAACAGACTGAGAGGACTTTTGCCACCAAAACCACCCTCTGCACACGGCACGTGTCCATGCACACCGCACCAGTTTGTCTGCACCCAGCACCATTCTCTGCACTCGGCACTCCAGCTGCTTTTCCCGCCCAGAGGCATTTATAAGCTCGGACCCTGAGAGAGTTCGGGTTCCTGATTTCTCAGGTTCCTTCGTTCCTGTCTCTTCGTGAGTTCATCGTTCACCTAGCTTGCTGTCTCCAGAACCATGGTGAAGGCTGGGACATATCCTGATAACAGACCAGCATCTGACAGGGTGCTTCAGCCCACCACTGTAGTGCAAGTGGACTCTAGCTACCTGTCCTGACGAACCGGACACGCCGCCTAACTCCGATTGCTGTGGTGAATGCTCTCTACTCTGGAGTTGGGAAGACCATCTTGTGTGTGTTCTACTCACAAACTGACTGTCACACCATTGACAGAGCAACAACAAGGACTTCTCAGTGTTCCTCCCCCAAGGCTATCTGAGCTAAAGGGTTGTAGGTCCTGAGCCTCGGCTGTCAGTTACCATCTCCAGACAGACTGAGTATAATTTCCTTTGCACACTGCATAACACCTCATTATTTTTAAAGGGTGTACGGTTGGTTTTACAGTGTTGTGTTGTGTTCAAGTTTATTGGTTACCTGTTGTATTCAATACATTTTTACATCTTTTAAATTTGATATCAGAGTCTGTGTTTTTTTCCATCTGAGAAATCCGCTTGTGATAGATACAGTGGGTTCCAGGCTGGATCTCCTTCTGGGACAAAGGTGTTTACCATCTAGTCCACAGCCCAGTCTAAATTAGTTTACTAGTGCGCCTTTGCTGGCAACAAGGGCACACAACCCTCTAGTGCGCCTTTGCTGGTAACAAGGGCACACAACCCCGTTCTCTTGCCCTGCCTGAGAGAGCTGCTATGGAAAGAAGGTGTAGAGGGAAATTTGCAGGGAAGATCTGGGAGAAAGGAATGTTTGTGGGGTAAAGGGCACGTGGGTTTGCAGGAAAAGTGCAGCTGGAAGGTTTCTTTTTCCTTTTCTCATTGTCTGGTTGGTAGACAGTGGTGGGAGAGTTGATATTTTGCAGTATTGGGGGCCCTTCATGCACTTGGTTGGTGGGGCAGCTCTGGCTCCATATTTCAGAGTGCTATGGTAACCTGAGTGAGGGCAACCAGAGCACTCTGAGACACAAATGTTTTGCTGTCCCTCAGTAAGGCAGGCAAGCAAGCAGGGACACCTGGGAACCGGCTGCCCGGTTGTGTGTGTGTGTGTGTGTGTGTGTGTCTGTCCCTTTAAGAACAAGCCTCAGATAGTCTCAGGCAACAGCCATGCAAAGACACCCCTGACCTAGTTCCGACCAGCCTTAAATCCAAATCAGTGTCCATTCAGTGTGGACGCGGTATTTCGAATTAGCAAAACGCTAATTAGAACTGCATTTTGTGTGTAGACGTGTTAATTCAAATTAGCTTAATTCAAATTAACTATTTCAAATTAAGATAACTCGAATTAACACTGTAGTGTACACATACCCTTATTGAATCTAGTGGTATGCCTCAGTGAGGCATGCAATTTGATATTTGAACCTATGGCGTGACCTCGCACATATGGTGTGTGCATGGTCACACTATGTGTATGTTTTACAAAATGGTATCCTCCATTAGTGTTTGAGCATGGGATGGAATTGTCATAGAGGCACAGACACTCATGAAATCAAAGTCAAGGCTTTCATGGCCAAACAAGGCATGTGGTGCATACTTTGACTTCATGACACTGCTGCTCTCTGTTATGTTTATGTTGTGTTTACCCTAGTTAAATAATAGTTTTGTGATTTTTGAATCCCAGATGTTTGATACATAGTCAATAAGTAGGTTTTGAAGAGATGTGCAGAGCAGTTGAAACAGAATTGAAAAACAGCCAGAATTGCCTGATAAATCATGAAAGTATTCTGTGAGGAAGCTGAAGGGACAGCAGGGCTACAGAAGTGATGACACAACAGTTCTGAACATGGTGTATGCCTAGAAAGAGAAGTCCAGGAAGCTAACAGAATTTCCTAGGAAGGTTCCAGGGAGTATGTCTAGACAACGGGACAAAGTCAAATTAAGATATGCAACTTCAGTTACGTTAATTGCTTAGCTGAAGTTGAAGTAGCTTAATTTGGCTTCTGGCGCTGTCCACACCACTCTTTCTTTAACTTCCCTTACTTCTCATGAATGCGGGGTTACCAGCATTGACCAGAGTACCCCTCTCACTTTGAATTAATTGTTTTAACAAGATCGCTGATTCAAACCCTGGAAGATTGACAGACACAGTTTTGATCTTCCTCTGTAGTATAGATGTGTCCCAGGTAGAGGGCCCTTCTCTAGTAGGGCACCTATAATGAGTTGGAGAAGATGTCGAGGGTGCAGAGTGCCCCAGAGGTATGGAGCTGAGCAACACTGGCAGGTGGCAGAGAGAGTCACAGGCAGGTTTGCAGCTTCCATTTTCCAAGACAGTGAAGAGAAATTAGTGGCAATAAGAGTGAACAGTGGTATGGGTCTACTCCTAAACATTACAGAAACCACTTGTGCCATCTGAGGTGCAAGAGTGACGAAACAGGAGCTCATAATAAGGAGTGGTTCTTTTCCCTCCATTCTTTTCAGTGGCTTACCCTGTGCAATACACCAGTTGAGGTGGCAGGGGAATGAAATATCCTTTTTTGCCTTTTTTGTTTTTGTTTTGTTTATTTACTCTTGTTTATTGCTATTTTTTTAAGCAATCTTTTTTCCAATTGGCTGCTGGGAACAAAATGTATGGTATAAGCAAGTTTGAGAAACCTATGATGCGTAAGAATTGATTGGTGAACTAGCTATTCCCTCTAGGAGCTTGCACTAACAAAAACTCCATTACTAGGTATAAGGAGGCCTTAAGAGCTAGTTCCATACAAATAGTCTGTTCCAGATTTCTTCAGATTACTTCAGATAGACCTAAATCAAATCATTGTAGATCTTTGTCCCCAGAATTCTGTGCCCAAGTAACTGGAAACAGGAAATGGATTCTATATATTTGTCTTGATTAATCATTTTAATTCATTTGCCTTCAACTTCCATATTTCCCATTTAACTCCTTCATCCATATTTCACATATTTTGCTTCGGTTTTATAACCAGTCCTCTAAAATACATCCTTATGGTCTCTTTTCTGGGTGATATTTGCCTTGATCAAACATTATAATGCTCACATTTATCCCAGTCACTCATATTTTTTTACATGCAAATAGAATAGAATAAAACCAAGATATGGGTTTATGGTTGCATGGTATGAAACACACAGGCTATGTCTAGACTGGCATGATTTTCCGCAAATGCTTTTAATGGAAAAGATTTTCCGTTAAAAGCATTTGCGGAAAAGGGTGTCTAGATTGGCACGGACGCTTTTGTGCAAAAATATTTCTGGAAAAGGGCTTTTGCCCGAATGGGAACGTCAAAGCATTTGTGCAAGAAACACTGATTTCGGACAGTAGAACATCAGTGCTTTTGCGCAAATTCAAGCGGCCAGTGTAGACAGTTGGCAAGTTTTTCCACAAAAGCAGCTGCTTTTGCGGAAAAACTTGCCAGTCTAGATGCAGCCACAAGGAGAAGGTTTCACTCTTTATCTTTACAACTTCCATTTACTCTTTCTACCAATATCCTCTTTATAGTAAAATGATTTTGTTGCTTATATTTTTTAAAATTACAAATGTGTTCTTTTAGGAAGTAACTAAAACAAATAAAATTATTTTTCTCACTTCACATTGGCATTTCTTTAATGTACATATATTATTTCTTACTGGTTTAGGGCTGTATCCATAACATAATGTGAATGTGGTGTGGAAAAACTTAATTTTCTAAAACAACCAATGGAGATTCTGCATAGTAGCCTTTGCTTGTCACCAGTTACAGTCTTGTCAAATATTAATCCCTATCTTTAAAATTTTGTATTATATTACCACATTTTCAGGTTTCTTCATAGTATTTTAGGGACTGTTTGTGGCCTAGAGATTAAAATGAAGGTACTTTAAAGCAACCTCTGGCTACTAGCGGCGAGGAATTCTGTGGCACCTTATAGACTAACTGAAGTGTTGGAGCATAAGCTTTCGTGGGCAAAGACCCACTTCGTCAAATGCACAAAAGCTTATGCTCCAACACTTCAGTTAGTCTATAAGGTGCCACAGGACTCCTCGCCGCTTTTGCAGATTCAGACTAATACGGCTAACCCTCTGATACTATTGCTACTGTTACAGAACAGAAAGAGAAGTTGCAATTCCTCACATTTTGCTGTGCCTGTATCATATGATAGTGATAATTCATTTGGTTGTTGTTGTTTTTAATTTTTCAATTTTCCATGCTAAGAGTCTTTGAATTAATTTAGAGGTTCTGTTACTTCTTGAGAAATATGAATGACCAAACAAACACCAAATTAAATCATATTTTAAATTACTGTCATAGAAAAGATTAAAGTTCTCTCAGGTATTTTTTCTTCAGAAAATTGTGGCATATACAGTATCACATGAAGACAAAGTACAATGCAGATACAATTTGGATACAGTTAGATAACTTGAGAAATTAATTATTCAGTTTATAGAAGATAGCTTCGCAAAGTAGTAAATTTACATAGAAAATGGACTTTTATGTTTGTTATTAATTATTATTATTATTACTATTATTGTTGCTATAAAATAGTTTGGGGCTTATTTTTAAATCTTAATGATAATATAAAAGCATAAATATTTATTTTCTTTCATACTAAAACAACACATACATTTCATTAGATGTTAATTTTGCTAGTGTATTTCATGCAAAGAAGTTATTTATTTTAATTTTGTTTTATTAGAAACAATGAATTCAGAGCATCAAAATTACCGATCTGTACTATTTGAACATCTAGACAGATACAATTATTTCTATATACATGCTTGGATAATAAATAAATCTTTAATCAGACTCCTGTGGCATTGCATGTGGGACTATTTCAGCAGAATTTAGTATTTTTAGGGGATAAAGGATTTGGAGAAGGGAGACAGTTCCTAATCCATTCTGCCAGTTCAGGGATGAGCTTGTGTTACTTCCTTCTCTTCAAAATCAATTTATATTGACAACATTAATTTTAATAACTGGCTTTATACCCCGAGTTGGAGAAAACCCTCTAAAGAACAACATTTCTTTGCAGTTATGATTTTATTGCTAACGGTAAAGTTGTAATTTACAGTGAAAAACAAAAGTTTCCCTCTTCAGAGGTCTCTCCAGCACTAAGTATCAGGGTTTATTTGCTCTTCTTTACCCCATTTTTATTCTCTCTTACAAGAAACTCTACTGGATGAAAATATCCCCTTTCCTCTTCACCCGTCTAAGAAACAGGACAATTTGGTGATAGATATTTTGCAAAAAATACACTTTTTTAACTCCAAAGAAACACAAACAGAGAGGAGAGAAAAGCCCTTTTTGGCTTGCAGCTGGGCGGGCTCTTTAACGTACCAATCACAGAGCAGCTCTTCTCTATAAATTCAGGCATCTGACCTACTCTCTTCAGCTCAATTACTTTTGATTCGTAGAAAACGTTTGTCACCATGTCGGAAACTGCGCCTGTTGCCGCTCCTGCTGTTTCTGCTCCTGGGGCAAAAGCCACTACTAAGAAGCCGAAGAAAGCGGCAGCCAGCGCTAAAGCGCGTAAGCCCTCCGGTCCCAGCGTGACCGAGCTGATCACCAAGGCGGTGTCCGCTTCCAAGGAGCGCAAAGGGCTCTCCTTGGCCGCTCTCAAGAAGGTTCTGGCCGCCGGAGGATACGATGTGGAGAAGAACAACAGCCGCATCAAGCTGGGGCTCAAGAGCCTGGTGAGCAAAGGCACTTTAGTGCAGACCAAAGGCACCGGCGCCTCGGGCTCTTTCAAACTCAGTAAGAAGCCGGGAGAGATCAAGGAAAAGGTACCCAAGAAGAAGCCCGCGGCGAAGCCTAAGAAGCCAGCTGCCAAGAAACCCGCCAGCGCCGCCAAGAAACCCAAAAAGGCTGCGGCCGTGAAAAAGAGCCCGAAGAAAGCCAAGAAACCAGCAGCTTCTGCCGTCAAGAAAACTGCCAAGAGCCCGAAGAAGGTGAAAGCCGCCAAGCCAAAGAAGGCAGCTAAGAGCCCGGCTAAGGCGGTGAAACCAAAAGCTGCCAAGCGCAAGCCAACAAAGGCTAAAACGGCAAAGGCTAAGAAAGCAGCGACCAAAAAATAGAATTATAGTTTTAGAAAAGGAAATTTCTGACCCAACGGCTCTTTTAAGAGCCACCCACAAGTTTCAAAAAAAGAGCAAAATCCTTGTGTTCGTGCTTCACGCTCAGAATCCCAAAGATTGTTTTGACAGGTTCGAGTACTTGGTTTGTTTTAGGGCGGGGACAAGGAATGGCTTTCCGCGCAGTTTTAATAAAGATTTAAAATGACCGAAGTGGGTTTTGTAGCGCTGTGCAGCCAGAGAGTTTCCAGTCCCCGCCCTGGCGATGTTTTGTTTACCTAGATATCAGCTGCTCAGTGGCTTGGTACTAAGCTCTCAGTAGATTTTCTAGGCTTGCTTAGTTCCCAGCCATTTCGACCAATAGCTACCTGCCAACAAAACAAGGCAGTACAAGAGAACCCGGCAAGTTCTCTGTTTCGTTTGACCATCTCCTGTGATTGGTTGGTAGTGAAGATTAAGATAAATCTTACTGGACACTTCCAACGTTTTGAAAAATCCCCGCGCTGTGAGACGATTACTCGGTATACTCCCCCTTTCTCTGATTTATCACAAAAGCTGTCCTCACTAAGGACTCGATCCTTCAATCCCTCGCTCCGGGAAAGGACCCTGATTTTCCTATTTCCAGTCCTATTGCCCTAAAACACCCTTTTAAATACCTCCCCGTTTTCTCTACTCTCTAGTTTGGTGGAGAGATATTTTAAGCTTGCATTACACAATAGAAGCTATACCCTATACCTAACGCCCATTTTGTGTCTCTAATATCGCGCGACTCGCAGGGCTACAGAACTAGTGGCATTTCCCACGTACATCGTTATTGCCCGATTTCCATTATTGCCCGGCCCCGTCGCCCACTATCTGAAATCTGTTTTTTTATGTATCTGTCACTTGCCTCGCTGTTTCATTTTCAAACTGGCCTTATTTATGATTCCTGAACATTCGAATGCTAGTCCCAGAGAAAAGGTACGGAAATAGACCACATTTTTGTGTATTTCCATTCTTACATTAATGCGAGATCATTTTAAAAGAAGAGGACGAACTGAACTTTTTTCCCTTCAGATTGTTTGAATACTGTATACGATGCAGAACCCCTCAATGTTATTAATCTTTAACATGTAGGTTAAACACAGATGGAAACTATATCTAGATTAATTTACGACATGTAGGTTAAACACAGATGGAAACTATAGATTAATTTACGATATTTCATAAACAGTGTCCTCGGATTTTTATTTCCAAAACAAATGTAACCTAAAACCAAGACGCTTCTCAGAAGTTCTGTATTAGATGGCGTACTTTGTTTTGTTAATGCAAACCGTAGTCGCTAGAAGAGGTATTTTAAGTAGGACACAATAGTTCATTAAACGTTTTGAGTGAAGAATGTGTAAATTTTTAAATACGGTTTTACATCCATTACATTACATTGCATCTGGGGAAAGTCATGTAAGGAAAAATGACAGATAACCACTGCAAAACAGAAGTAATAAAGAACATTTATAATCTGTAACAAAGGACGAATTAAAAACGCAGAATAAAGTCGGTAACAATTCAACACATGCATTAGTGCAAAAGCTCTTTTACGGAATAGGTGGGCGGCTCTGAAAAGAGCCTTTGGGATAGAGATGTTAGCATTTTCAGTAGATCTTTACTTAGAGCTGGTGTACTTGGTAACAGCCTTTGTACCCTCAGACACAGCGTGTTTGGCCAGCTCCCCTGGCAGCAGAAGGCGCACCGCAGTCTGGATCTCCCGCGAAGTTATAGTCGAGCGTTTGTTGTAATGGGCCAAACGAGACGCTTCGCCAGCGATTCGTTCGAAAATATCGTTCACGAAAGAATTCATGATGCCCATGGCCTTAGAAGAGATGCCAGTGTCCGGGTGAACTTGCTTCAGCACTTTGTACACATAGATTGAATAACTTTCCTTCCTAGTCTTTCTACGTTTCTTATCTCCCTTTTTCTGGGTCTTGGTCACGGCCTTCTTAGAGCCTTTCTTTGGAGCAGGAGCAGATTTAGCCGGCTCAGGCATTTTAATAACTAGGTAGATGCTCACACGACAACAACGAAGTCAGGAAAAAAAGCCCGTGTTCCTCCCTCTATTTATAGGTTAGCTATGCAAATGAGCAGCTTAAGTTTTCTAGTGTTCTATTGGAACGTAGACAAAACATATGTGTCCCGTTTTATGCTGTAATTGGTCAATATGAGATCCTTGTCTTCATTGGTGGCGCAGACAGTGACATTTTTTAACCAATCACAATTCACTAATCCGTCCAGGAAAAGGGATAAAAAGGCAAGATTCGTTGCGTCATTATGCTTTCCCGATTTGTTTCTGTTGCGTGTGGGGGCATTGATAAGGAGAGTTGCAATGTCGGGTCGAGGAAAACAGGGCGGCAAAGTGCGGGCTAAGGCAAAGTCTCGTTCTTCTCGTGCTGGCTTGCAGTTCCCGGTGGGCCGCGTTCATCGGCTTCTGCGGAAAGGTAATTACGCTGAGCGAGTTGGAGCTGGAGCTCCTGTGTACATGGCTGCCGTGCTAGAATATCTGACTGCTGAAATTCTGGAGTTGGCTGGTAATGCTGCTCGGGATAACAAGAAAACTAGAATCATCCCCCGCCACCTGCAGCTGGCTATTCGTAATGACGAGGAACTCAACAAGCTGCTGGGGAAAGTCACCATCGCTCAAGGGGGTGTTCTGCCCAACATCCAGGCTGTGCTACTGCCCAAGAAAACTGAAAGCCATAAAGCTAAAAGCAAGTAAAGCCGGTGTAGAAGAAACGAGAAGTCAGAATTTGCTTAAAATAACCCAAAGGCTCTTTTCAGAGCCACCCACAATATCAGAAAAGAGCTAAATTATTTGTTTTTATCAATACAGTAACGTGAGTATTCATATTAACTATGAGCAACTTTTTTTCATAATATTTCCTATATTATATATAAATGAATGTGCCTTTCTAATCGGCAGATGTATTTCAATAGATTTCTCTGTTATAACTTAATATTTCCTTTTTAAGAATAAAATGCTATTGTAATTATATAATAAAGGGAAATGTATAAAAGCTGGAATGGCATTTAAGTGCATAGATGTTCTGTGTATTATCCACCTTCCTACTCCTTTTATTGGGGTTGCTTTGTCTCAAATGGAAGGTCACTCTGAAAAGGTATCTTCACAAATTAGAGTGGCAGAAATACAAAAATACCAAGATATGTGTAGAATATAATAAATTACATGTATTAATCAGATAAAAGCTAAAAGCAGCATACATGTTTGAAAATGAACCACTAGAACACACTTAGAGGAGCAGAATGTGTTCAAATTAGCCTCTCAAGTCACTGGACATGATGCCAAAATATTGAAGTTATAGAAATTCCCCAGAGGAAATGAGCAACCACCTGCTGCACTGATCTATTCTTGCTTTGGGGGGGCTTTTCAAATTCAGTAGTTGTCTGCATTTCCTGCCTAGTCAACTGTTCTGTTTTCCTTCCTTCTATCTTCCCTTCTACTTTGCTGTACTTCAAACATGGACATGGACATGGACACCAGTGGTCTCCAACCTTTTTTACACCCAAGATCATTTTTTAAATGTCAGGACAAGCTGAAATCTACCCCACCCCTTCCTTGAAACATCACTCTCTGTTCTCCATCACTTGCTGTCCCTAACCCTTACTCACCACTCTCACTGGACTGAAATGGAAGGTGAGGGCTCTGGGGTGGGAATGAGGGATTTGGCTGTGGGAAGGGGTGAGAGGTGCAAGCTCTGGGAAGCTTGGGTTGGAGTGTGTGAGGGGCTCAAGACACAGATTTGCAGTGTGTGGTTGGTGCAGGAGTGCTGTGGCAGAAGACTGAGGTTGTGGAGGTACAGGAGTTTGGGGATGTGTGAGTCTCAGGAGGATGAGGTTCCAGTGTATGACAGGCTCAGGTCTGGGGAGTGCAGGAGTGTTACAATGCTGCGGCCAGATGGGGGCTTGTTAGTCAGGCTTCATTTTTAAATAAAATATGTCCAGCACAAAATGTTTCAGCATTGTCTTTATGAGAGGAGCAGGGAACCTCTTTTGGGTCAGAGGTTTCTGACCCACAGAAAAATCAGTTGGGGCCACACAAGTGAGATGCAAACAAACTACTCCAAAATCCCTCAAGCCTTACTAATGTGGCCACAACTGAGACACCTCATTCCCCTGGCACTCCAGCCCCAGGCCAGATTAACTCTTCTGGGTTCCAAGGTTAGTGGAATTTGTGGGACTCTAGAATCGGAGGTGGGGCAAAAATGAGGGATCCAATGTGTGGCACAAGGCTGCCAGTGAGTGGGAAAGGGATGGGGGTACAGAATCTGGGTGGAAAATAGGGTACACAGGAGCAAGCTGGAGGTAGTTGTCTGGCCAGGAGGGAGGGGGCAGGAGCAGGGTGCTGGTGGGAGTCTGGCCAGGGGGCAGGGGCAAGGTGCCGGTGAGGGTTTGGGCAGGGTGCAGGGGAGTCTGGCCAGGGGGGCAGGGTGCTGGTGGGGGTCTGGCCAGAGGTAGGTACTGGTGGGGGTTTGAGCAGGAGGCAGGGTGCTGGTGGGGGCTGGGGCAGGAGGCAAGGTGCTAGTGGGGGCAGGGGGACAGGGTGCTGGGGCAGAGGGCAGGGTGCTGGTGAGTGGTGGGGCAGGGTACTCGTGGGGAGGGTCTGGCTGGGGGAGGGGACAGGGACAGCTCGGGCTGGTACCTGGGAATCCTGCAGGTGCACTCCAGGTCCAGGTGTCAGGAAGCACACGGGCTGCTCTTCCCCTCCCCCAAAGAGCACACTTCCTGAAACGCTGGGCGGGTCTGTTGCACACCGGCGACTTCCTTTCCCCCTGCTGCTTTCCTGCATGGTGGGGAGAGTAGGAGTCCCGGGACTACACTAGCTCCAACTGCTCAGGAAGCGCATGCCCTGCTCCTCTGCTCCCCTCGACAGTCACACATTTCCTGAGCAGTTGGAGCTGACGCAGTCGTGGGACTCATACTTCCCCACACACAAACACTCAGGAAGGCAGCAGGCGGAAGGAAGTCACTGGCACGTGACAGACTCGGCTTTTCAGGATGCGTGCCAACTGTTTGGGAGAGGGGAAAAGCAGCCCGTGTGCTTTCTAAAGCTCCGGACCGGGCGCTCAGCTCCGGGACATCCCCCCCCATGCCGCAGGAAGCCAGCACTGCCTCCATTGTTGCTGAAGGTAGCATCAGCAGGGGCTGCTTCTTGGGGATGAGAGGAAATGCGGGGGAGGGAACAGAACGCCTCACAATTGACTGGTCATACCTGCCCGGTCAACCCATCGATCACGATCGACGGGTTGATGACCACGGGTGTACACCCTGAAGAATTAAGTTAAGAGGATCTCAGGGGCTATGTTTACACAGCATAGGAATAACTGATGTTATTTCAAAATAACCATCCATATCTACACAGCAAGCAGTTATTTCAACTTAATGCTGAAATAATAGCGATCTGGAGAACTTCTTACTGACTCCTGTAACCCTCATGAGAAGTAAGGGAAGTCCGAGGAAGAGTGCTCTTTCTCAAATGTCCTGCTGTATAGACAGCGCCAGAAGCTGAAATAAGCTATTTTGACTTAAGCTACGCAATTGACATATCTCAAGTTGCGTAGCTTATTTTGGCTTTAGCCCTGCAGTGTAGAGGTGCCCCAGAGGATTACAACTCTCAGCTCATGTGTCCGCGAGGTGTATAGAATGCTAAGGACTTCAGGAAGCACTGTTTCAGCGTCATCAAGTGGTATCGAGCTTACTATGGGTGCCCTGGTTTTTACAAGGCAATAGGTGAGGAACCTGTTTTTTATGGGGAGCATAGAGTCTGAGTAAATACATTGGTATTTCCTGTCTGGACTCCCAGCCTATACCAGGACTGCAGCCCAGAAGGATTCAAGTTCCTGAGTAAGCCAAAACGAGCTATAGAGGAATCTCTCAAATGCTTATCAGACCATCACAAGTCCCTTCTTCCAAAATCCATTTTATAATTTATTTCCATAATGTTTGATGCACTTTATTTAATCAACTCCTTATGCAGCAGGGATGATAAATAACCCACATACCTACACTTAAGGAAAGAATGCAATTTGGAGGGGAGTGAGCATGGAAGTCTGAGGCTTGGCCAGGTAGTTTTTAACTGTGATACTGGGTGACAGGGACTGGTCTTATGAAGTCATTTTAAAGCTTTCCCCCCTTTACATCTCAAGCCCCAAATAAATGAATTCATTTTCCCAAAATGTAGCCCTGAGAGGAAACACAAACGTTCTTCAGCCAGATAACAACTGTCTCTTCAGGCTGAGGTAAAATATCTTTCCTTTGAGTTTCATTGAAATTAGAATGTTCCTTACTCTGTGCTAGGCTCTCTGTTTAAAACATATTATTAAAGCTAGTGTTTGAAATCAAGTTCATGTTACATAGTTTTAAATGGAAGGCATCTGGGGTCAAGTTTGGATTATGAAATATAAGAATCAGTTACAAAGTTCACAAGACACATAGGCTACATCTAGACTGTCATGATTTTCCGGAAATGCTTTTAATGGAAAAGTTTTCCATTAAAAGCATTTTCGGAACAGAGCATCTAGATTGGCGTGGATGCTTTTCCACAAAAGCACTTTTTGCGGAAAAGTGTCCGTGGCCAATCTAGACGCACTTTTCCACAAAAAAAGCCCCGATCACCATTTTCGCAATTGGGGCTTTTTTGTGGAAAACAAATCTCAGCTGTCTACACTGGCCCTTTTGTGCAAAAGTTTTGTGTAAAAGGGACTTTTGCCCAAACGAGAGCAAAATAGTATTTCCGCAAAAAGCAGTGATTTCTTACAGTAGGAAGTCAGTGCTTTTGCGGAAATTCAAGCGGACAGTGTTAGACAGCTGGCAAGTTTTTCCAGCAAAGTGGCTGATTTTCCGGAAATACTGGCCAGTCTAGACACAGCCATATATAGGGTACATAACCAGAATTATCCCTGGTTTGGGTGCGTGAAAATTTGTAAGTGTCTTGAGAATAAGTGTTCTCGGGTATGCACCCATAGACTATAGAGTCAGTGGCTGTGAAGCAGACAGGTACATGGGTAGAGTGTCCCCCTTGGTCAGTCTGGTGGTCCTTCAAACTCACTCTTGCTTTCTCTCTTCTAGTCACTATTTCCTTCTTACAGCCTCGATCATACATCATGTTGCTCCCCAAATATGTGAACTTCTTTCTTTACATTCTCTAGTTTGATCCCATCTACGCTGATCTTCCTTCCTATTCCTTATCTCCAAATATCATTGTCTTCATTTTATCGATATTCATAATCAGTCCATACTGCTTCCCTTCCTTGTTTAGTACCTGCACTCTTCTCACTAGCTTCTCTTCATCTTCCTCAATGATAACTATATCATCTGCGAACATGGCATAAAACCCCTAGAGGCTTCATGGTGGAGTTCTGGTGGCCACTATGTCCACAGTAATCACAACTCCATAGTTCCTGTCCCCAGGCACCTCTTAAAGCTGCAGGCACCCTGAACAAACCTTGCGGCAGGAAACCAGCCTGGAAGCAGCACCTGACCACGTGGCTTTCCCTGCAAAAGGCCTGCTGACCCATGGCAGAACCACAAGACCTCTGAAATCCTCTTGGCCCTCGCAGGGAGCAGCCCCAGGGGTCCCAGGACCCACCCAGAAGGACCAAGAGGTGGGCACCCTCCTGGTCCATAATGGAGATCCTATCCCTCCTCGAGCTGTGGGGTGAGGAGACATTGCAGGATCTCTGCTCCAAGCACAGCAACACTCATATTTTTGAGCACATGGCTGAGTCTCTGGTGGAGTGCGAACACCCATCCCCAACCTTGGAACAGGTCACCCATCATCGCCCGGCCGGAGGTCATGGCGGAGGAAGAGGAGGACCAGGGACAGCAAGAGGAGGAGGAGGTAGACAAGATGGACACCGTCATCCTGTCCCTGGAGCCAGTGCCAGTCAGCCGGGACATCTCCCAGGCCTCGTCTGACACCAGGGAGGGAGCTTCAGGTGAGCGCTCTCAGTTTGCAACACACACAGGGCAGGGGAGGTGGGCACAGAGGGGGCAGGGTGTGAGCGTTGCTGGGCCGCTTGGGCTGGACATTGTGCTGCAGTCTGTGCACATGAGCAATAGTGTGCACCATGCAGACCCAGCAGGCAGCCCCTGAGCACGGGTGGGATCCTGCTGCCAGGCTCAAGGGAGGGCCACACACATCCAACCCAGACCTGCCACGGCTGGAAGCAGACTAGCCAGAAGAGTGCAGGTACAATCCCGCACACCCCGAGGAGTGCCGCACACAGCATGTGGGCATGCCTGAACATGCGAGGCACCACTCGTTCCCACGGACAGTGCTGCCAGGTGCAGGTGTACATGTGGACCCCAGGGAGGCCCATGCTACTCCCGGCTCCTCTGCCACCCAAGGGATCCCACTGTGGCCGGACACTTCCCTTGCCTGCTTGTCTGTGGGCTGGGCAGAGGAAGGGGGAAGTGGGCAGCATGGTCCCCTGGGCACCTTGGGGCCCCTGTGAGGCATGGCCTGCTGTTCAGGCCACACATGGCCTTGTTCCTGGGACATCCCCCTCCTCTGGCTGGAGGACTGTTGGTTGCTGCTCACAGAGGAGAGCATGGGTTCAGGGACAGTGTTTGCATGGATCACTAACTGCCTCTCTCTCTTTGTGTTCTCCACAGCTGGCCCATTTGGGACTGTGGGGCAAGCCACACCACCCGTGGCAGCCACCAGAGCCCGGGGCTCCCGAAAGCGTGCCAGCAT